CATTAACATTGATGGTTATAACTGATATGTATTGAGTTATCATTGTCATGACTTTTTCTTTTTGTTTGATCCTCTCCCTTTGCTTTTAATTTCTTGTTGTGCCCAGCAGATTCATTCTGCTGGGCTTCCTGGGGTTGTGATCGATCCTCATTGTCTTTTCCTAGGATTTTTGTCTACAATTTTTTGGAGTGCTGGTTTGGTATTCATGAAGTTCCTAAGGTGCTCTTTGTCATGAAAGGATTTTATTTCACCATCAATTTTGAAAGATAGTTTTGCAGGGTACATTAATCTGGGTTGGAAGCTGTTTTCCTTTAGGGCTTGAAATACATCACTCCAAGATCTTCTTGCTTTGAGGGTTTGCACTGAGAAGTCTGCTGCGATTGTGATGGGCTTTCCTTTGTATGTGATTTGTTCCTTTTCTCTAACTACTTGTAGAATTTGTTCTTCTGATGTGTTTCTGGAATCTTAACAATTATATGCCTATGTGTAGATTTTTTTTTATCAAGGCTAGTTGGAGTCCTATATGCTTCGCTTATCTGCATGTCAAATTCTTTTCCATTGCTTGGGAAGTTTTCTGCCATCACTTCTGTAAACAGAAGTGATGTCATCTGCACTCTCTCCTGTTTCTTCATTGACTCCAATCAGTCTTATGTTGTTATTCTTTGCATCATCTAGCAGCTGCTGGATTGATTTCTTGTGGTCCCTTAAAATTTTAAAGAATTTTTTCTTTTCCTGGTCACTAATTGCAATCTTATTTTCTATATCAGAAATTCTGTCTTCACATTGGCTCATTCTGCTGCATAGACTTTCAATGGAGTTTTTAATCTTCTGGAAATCTGTTTGCATCTGTTTTATGGGTTCTATTTGTTTCCTATGTTGGCATTCCATCATGTTTTCAGCTCCTCTATTTTTTTTATCTGTATCCTCTCTAGATTTATTAATCACATCTTGCACTATGGGCACAATCTTTGCTGTTATGTGAGAAATCACTTCTGATTTCATTTTTTCCAGATCCTCTTTCGTTGCTAGTTCAGGGACTCCAGGTGGTTGAGTATCAGAGTGTTCCATCTTGTTTCCCTTTGGGGTTGCTGTAGATGATCTAGAAGTCTGGTTCTGTGGCTTGTTTACCTGTCTTCTCACTTTGATGCACGTGGGAGTGGGGGGTAGGATGGGTGTGTGTTCCTGGCAGCCAGGTGGCTCACCTCCTCTGGGCTTGGAGCTGTGGCATGCCTACCTGGGAGCTTCCTCTATGCTGGGAGCCACAGCTCGCCTTCCTGAAAGATTTCTTGATGCTTTTTGGCATATCATATCATCTGGGCATTGAAGGAAGGATCAAGTATTTATTCTAGTCTTTGTAATCTAATTTTGTGTGTGCTAGTCTTTCCAAAAATTCTAAGCCAGGTTATTCTCTCTTAGCCTGTACTCACTTTTGATGTTTCAGCAGTATATAGTAACCAGGTGCAGATGTGGCAGGAGTCTGCTGTTGGTGTGGTAGCTGTTTTGGTATTAGAAGGTAACCCAACCCCGGGTTTGTCTCAAATACACTATTGATGTATAGGTCAGAAACAGTAGAGCACTTAGAAAGAGGAGTACCGGATGCCCCATCCGTAGTTACCCCACTGTGATCAAGCACTAAAGGTCTCTTCCCAGCTCTGAACAAACTTATTGTGGATGGGTCAGCCCCAAGCTCCTATGTCACACGTGTGACCACTGATGTTGCCACCAAGGTGTGTCACACCTTGACCTACCTATAGCTGCTATAGCTGAGGTAGGCTCTTGGACAAAGGCTGCTGCAGCTAACCACAGTTGACGCTGGATGGAATAGATGTCCAATAGAATGGAGCCACCTGTTGTCCCCTGGCCCTGGAGCTCTTCTGGAGGCTGTATGTTCAGACAGGCCTCGGGGTGGGAGCCCTTAGGACCTGCTCTGTCAGTGTTAGTTTCACTAGGATTTAGGGCAAAGTTGTGCTTACCAAACTTTCCTATTCCAAAAAAATGTAGTCTCATACTGCCTATACTACCCACAGTCTGGGTAATCTGGGTGAAATTGGTCCCTTGGCTACCTAGCCAACACCAAGTTTCGCAGTCATAAAGACCAAAAGTCTTGGAGTATACCATGGCTCACACTGCAGCTGGAAGTGGTGCAAGCCAAAATGTCTATTCCACTGGGCTGTGGGTCTTACCTGGTGCCAGGAAAATTTTAGAGCTATGTCTCTGAGCATCAGTCTGTGCTGCATGAGGTTGAGGGACAGGTGGTGGAGATGGTCCCTTGACTACCAAGGCTGGCTGGGTCACACCTGCATCTCACACATCTACAGGGCCCTGCACAGTCTTTGGAGGAGGGCAGGTGTACCCCAAGGCTGGAACTCATGCCTGTCTTACAGGCACACAGGTCAATGATTAACATCGGGGCTGCTCTAGAGGTTTGTCTGAGCTCTCAGCTGTATATAGGGCCTTCAGTTTCTACCATGTGCTGGGTCTTACTATAGCAGAACTGGCTTTGGGCTCCACAACAAAGCTCTTCCCCCTTCCCTCCTTCCCCCCTAACAGATGGATTCTTGCTCCCCACTGTGCCACCCTAAGTGCCAACTGGCCTAACATAGTTCCAGCAGCTCAGTCTAGGGGTATTGATCTGTCATAGGGGTCATAGTTGAGAGTCATCTCTCTGATGATGCAGGCAACTCTTTCCTTCTGCCTTCTTCAGTGTGTCTTTTCATTTTGTTATACAGTACTAAATGCAGGCACTGTAGTGTCTCATTTGATTTCCTTAGTTCTTGTAAAAGTAATTGGCCAAAGAATAGCTGTTAAACCTGGTATATCTTTGGGAAGATGACCACAGAAGGACCTTACTGAATGGCCATCTTGCAGCACCGGAGGTTTGTTTTTTTTTTCAGTCAAGAAAAGTAAATTACTGAGTTGATAATTACCTTAAGAAAAATTCAGCCAATGGTGGAAGTTACATGATGGTTTTAGTTTCATATATCAAATATTCCTACCCTCAAGCCGGGGATTTAGCTCAGTGGTTCCACCACCTGCCTCGCAAGCGCAAAGACCCGAGTTCGATCTCCGGTACCAAAAAAAACCCCAAACAAATATTCCTACCCTCCATATTTCCTTCCTTGAGCATAAGCCCTTCTACACAAACTGATCTTAACTCATGGGCTTGCATTATCTAGGAGATGGTTCTAAACCTCAAACTCGTCCATCAAAAACTACAGCCTGCCAGCGATACTCAGATGACTAAACCTACTCCAGCCTGATTATGACAACTAGAGTCATGGTTCCTTCCTGCTTTTGACAAAGGAAGTTCTGATGAATATCAGACCTATATAATGCTCCCTTGATATTATGGAAATAACTGAAATACTAAGTTTTAGATCTTGTAGATTCACCATGAACAGTGGAGGATTACAAGCTCTTAGCAATTCCAGCAGTAAAGAATCTTAACAAGGTTTAACATTGCCTTCCCCGAGCTTATTGGACCATGGAATATTATGTATAGTAACATTTATTAATAAGTTTTAGAACCAGTGTCCCTGGGTGAGAGAAAGAAAGAAACAAGAATTCTCTCCTATATTTTATTATGTAATCTCCCACACTGGTATGAATGAACTTAAAGGTTTTTTTTTTAATGTACCAGCCCTGGTATTAACCAGAGACCTGTGTACCAGTAGGACAAAAACACTTTATAGTGACAGTTGCCACAGCTGGCCAGTTTAGAGATGGGTTTGAGATGAGCTCACACCTCTGCAGAAACCAAAATGGTTTGCAAGTGATAATAAGGGGACTGGTTGCCCAAACTTTGCTCATCGGGAGAAAGTTGAATGGGATGCTATAAAATGCCACCCCCTCTTTCAAGTATCTTTGGAATATGATATCAGCATCTGCCACTATTTTACCCCAGTCAAGAGACCTCAAGAAAAATAGATTTAGGTTTTGTGCAAATAAATGAAGGTCACCAAAATGAGGTTATGTATTCAGAGGTTACTAGAGGATCAGTCATTGTCACTTGGGTTTGGTGGACTCAGGCAGAAAAGTAGGAAACCTTTATAAGAACAAAAGGAAAGACCCAGCATCTCCTGTCTAGAGGTTGTTGGCATGGTACAAGTGGAAACTGCCAACTAGAAGTAGGGCATCTTACATTATTGGTTTGGGGAGCTTATTTTCCTTTTCCTGGTTGGTCTCTATCTGGAAACTGAAAACAGGGAAGCTGATGATCACTGACCAGGCCCTGACATTCAGAGCCCACGGCAGCTCACTTTGGTTGTCCAGGCTGGTTGTTACACAGGTTTTTAATCAGTTCTATTGTTAGATTATCTGGCCATTGTCCATTTGTATATTTGGTCTCTCAGCTTATAGCATGTGTTTGGAGGCTTTAAAAATATCAATCTCATTAAGCCTGTTGACCCTTGGAAATTTCCAGAGTGGCAGCTATGACTGCTTTGTGCCTCTTCTGGAAAAGGGCAGTGATTATGCATTCTATTTTAATGCAAGTGCTCACATAGAATACACACAGTCAAGTAAAAGCATAAATTTTTTTCATGGTTGTGTGATCTGGTTAGATGTGTTGCCTTTCTATGCCACAATGGCCACTGCTGCTACAACCACTGGCAAGTCCGCAGGGTCTGTTCTGAATTATGAATATGAAAATGAAAATATAGCAAACCAAACAGGTCCATTGACATTTTGGACAGGGAGCTGGTTGCCTCTCTGCATGTCAATGTATCCTTTTGGTTTTTGCTCTTTATTTTCTTAGCTATTTAAGAACTTTTAATTTATTTATTTAAAAGCAGTAATACATATGTCTGAATTACCAAACAAAAAAGCCAGTATGAAGTGACAGCTCAGCTTCTACAGGGGCAATACTGTTTTCCCCAGCTCCTGCCTATAAAAATATACAACAATGTTGTAAACTCATGAAGGAATGAAAACAAACTGAGAAAAGGCATACAAGAAAAAAATCAAGAAAGTATCAAATCATATGCCATATTAATATGTTTAAGAGATTTGTTTAATAAATATTTAACCTTTATTGTTTTCCTTTCTGGTTACAGTTGAAATGAATAGTCAGGTTGACAGTGTAAATGACCCAACAGAGAGTCAGCAAGAAGATCACCAATTAAGAAGCCCCTGTGGTAGGATTTTTCAATTGATTAATCAACCATAAGGAACTGTTTGCAAATAACATATTGTAGTACTGTTGGTTTTTCCAAGTCCCATTACATAGCTTGGGCTAAATGTTTAAACTAAGTAAGTGTGTAAGGAAGAAGGATTATCTCCTACAGGCTTGCCATCTTGAAGGGGAAAAGATAAGCCAAGACATATTTAAATTGTGCAGTACCTTAGTTTTCTGTGCTTTGACAACAACAAAAAGTATTTTCTATCTGTCTTACCCCATAGCTTCCTGGAGTGATCACATTATTTTAGCAACCCCAAGCTGATTCTCAAGCACTGCTTTTCCAGAAGCTACCTATTGAATTGTTTAGAATATCTCTTTTTAAGTAAACCACTAGAGAAGGCATAAAGGTTTATGAATATGTATGAAAAGAAACAAGTCTGCCTGAGGGTCCTGCCTTCTACACCACTACCTGAGGACAGGTGCATCTATACAAGGTTGAGTTGAAAAAGCCTGAGGGAATTCCCCAGGAAAATAAAAAGTCTGCACCCAGCCAGATTTAGGACTTTCAGACAAGCATAATACTAGAGACTAAAATAGATCTAGAATGATGAGTGGTCTATTACCCTTTTCCATTTATAGAGAGGGCTATTAAGAATTTTTAAAAAGCCAGCTTCACACTTAAGACTGTCCAACTCTCTAGCTTAAAGGATTGTTTTTTGTTTAAAAAATAGCTTAGAATAAGTTATTATGATGAGTATTGATAAGGTATTATGAAGGTATTTCGATGAGTCATCGAAAGTAAGATTGTTGGCATGGTTGCCTCCTGTATTATACCATCTTCTTGATCTATGCATTCTCTTCAGAAACCAGGCTTCACCAGACTAAAGCACCACAGAACAAAGTTTGAGAACACATCTGTCCTTCACATAGTGGTCTTAAACTTTATAAAAAAGGAAACATAATAGCATATCTGTAAAACATAAATAACATAGGACTGCTAAAAATATACTTATATAAACAAGGCCTTATAACCTTTTCTAGCTTGTTCATGTATTTAAAATATACTGCTAAGCTACTGAAATGATATAGCAAAGTTTCGTTGAGGAGTAATGAAGTGGTCTGGAAACGTGGAGCACTCGCCTAGCTTATGTAAGGCCTTGCCTGGGTTAAATCCCGAGGACTGTAAAAAGTAGTGAAGTGGACATATTAAACGCAGGCTCCTTACTGTTTGCTGACCTTTTGCCGCCAACAAACTGTAAGCTTCTTGTCTAGATTTTTTTCTTATAGGCTTTGTTATTTGCCTATGTGATCAATATCCAAAGTACAGTACCAGGATAGAACTATTTTCCTTAGGTAATGTCAAAATATCTTTCTTGACCAAAAAACACAAATGTGTTATCTCAAATGAATGAGCTGTAAAAACTAAGTTTTAAAAAGCTGAATTCCAGGAAAATGAAACAATTTGTACAAGATCACTAGCTAATGATTGGAAGCTTAAACACTCCCAGTTGAAATTCTTTGATGATCCCATGCTACTCCCTAAAGAATAGTGAGATTCAAAGCATAGCTGTTGCAGAGGTAATTTTCATTCTTCTCCTGCTTTTGAATACTTCAAACTTTGTCTATAGTAAACATGTTTTGATTTTATACATGCATAGACACTTCAGTCTATTTTATAAAGATTCATAGGCTACCAGAAAAACGTTGCCTCAGAGACCATCTGTTCTATTTTTCCCTTGTACATGTGACTAAGACCTGGATAAATTTATTGACTTACCTGCTTTCACATGATGAGTCACTATTATAAAAGTAGTTTTCTTAGTGTTTTCTTCTGCCAGTAACAAATATAACTGCATATTTTGTAATACAGTCAGGCTTTTGCATTACAGATTCAACCAACCATGATCAAAAATATTGTAAAAAACAAGAAGAAATGCATCTGTATTGAATAAAGGCTTTTTTCCTTGTCATTAATTCCTAAACAACTATTTAGATAACATTACATTGTATTAGGTACTATAAGTAATTTAGAGATTCTTGAAGTACATGAGAAGATATGCATAAATTACATGCACTGAGTCATTTATCTAAGGATGTTGAGCAGCCACAGATGTAGGTATCCTCAGGAGTATCCAAAAACACCAAGGGAGAACCCTGTAAGAGAGATTGGAACATTGTAAGAGAAACAAAATATCCTAGGTTCACAACAAAGGAAGAGAGGATCTCTCCTTTACAGGAGTAAAGGTGAAGAAGTCCTGGTACATACTAGCAACATAGGTGCTGGTAATCCTAGTTTGAGAAGTTTCACAATCCTCACAGGTTTGCAGGCACTTAGGTAAGGAACCTCAAATCTATACCATATCCTTACTTTAAAAAAGGATCTCACCCAGGCAGTTTTAGTCAGGAGGTATTTTGACAAGGAAGCTATTGTCAAAAGTATAAGGCCAAAAAGTTTTAAACTCTGCAAGAGAAAAGTGCTAAGTCACATTTAAGGTTATCACCATTACAGTAACAACAGATTTATCAGCAGCAGTAGTATAGGCTAGCAGGAAATGGAATGATGTATTTAAAGCCCTGAAAGAAAATAACTGCCAACCAGGATTATGGTATTGGCAAGGCTCTTCTATAGAAATGAAACAGAAATTAAGACCTTTTAAAGCCAGCAAAAACTCATAAAGTTTATGACTAACAGACAATCTCTACAAAAGTTGCTTAAAGGAGTCCTACTGCCAGAACTCAAAGATAACTGCCATGATACCATGTGAAAGTATAAATACCACTAGAGAATAGTATGGACAAGAAAAATAGCAAGAAATCAAACATTATCAGTACAACAAACCAAGCTACAAAGATGAGTAAGAGAAGGAAATGAATAAAGAATATTCAAAACAACTACAAAAAAATTAACAAAATTGCGGAGATATAATTAGGGATACAATTAAGTCCTTTACATTCAAATTATTATTGAATGGCTAAGTGGATTAAAAACTCAACAATATACTGCCTATGAGAAACTGACTTCATAAAAGATATACTCAGACTAAAAGTGAAAGGACAGAAAATGGTAACCTAGGCAAGCAGAAGTAGCTATACTTATATCTGACAAAGATTACTAATGTTCAAATGGTATTTGTTAAGATATAATGAATGTAAATCTATGTCTCTAATATCAGATAATTCAGTAGTATAAAAGAATATTAGGCCTACAGCAAGAATAGGTATTTCAAGATAACACTGTCATTCATGAACATGTCATTCCAACAAAAGTCAGTTACACTACATTATAGACAAATGGACTCAAAATAGATTTACAGGAAATTCTCTCCAACAATGCACATTCCTTTCATCAGAACATGAACTTTCTTTAGAGTAGACCATGTATTATTCCACAAAACAAGCCTTGAATTTAAAAATCTATATCCTATATATTGTCATTATAATAAATCTATAAGTCCACAAAAGAAACTTAAAATTATAGAAATACATGGAGACTGAAAAAATACTTTTGAATGAACAAAAGGGAAATTAAAAAATTTCTTGAAACAAATGAAAACACAAAATAGGAAAATCTGTAGGCTACTGCAAAAGTACTGTACTAAGAGGAAAATATATGACAATGAGTTCCTATATTGAAAAATATTTCTAATAGACAACCTAACAGTACAGCTAAAGGACTTAAAAAAGCAAGGCCAAATCAAGCCCAAAAGTAGTAAAAGGAAAGAAATTACAAAATTCAAAGCATAAGTAAACGAAACAGATCTGAAACAATATAAAACATGAAACAGTTCTTTGAAAAGACACTAGTCACAAATCTTTAAAACTAAGAAAAATAAGACCCAAATAAATAAAATTATATTTGAAAAAAGACATTTCTACCAATAGCACAGAAATTCAAAGTGTCACTAGCGATTATTTTACAATACTATATGCTAAGAAATTGGAAAACCTAGAAGAAATGGACAAATTTCTATTCCCATATGACCAAACAAAAGTGAACTATGAAGTGAAAGATGTGAATAGACCCATAACAAGTATTGAGATTGAATCAGTAATAAAAAATTCTTCCCATAAAAAAAGCCTAGGGCCAGATGGCTTCGCTGGTGAATTTTACCAAGCTTTTAAAGAATTAATGCCACTGTCTTCTTAAACTATTCCATAGACTTGAAACCCTTCCAAATACATCCTATGAGGCCAGCATTACAAAAATAGATACAAAAAGTCTCAACAAAATGATAGAAAATCAAATTCAACAGCATATCAAAAAGATAATTTACCATGGTCATTCATTTTATCCTAGGAATGCAAGGATGGCTCAACATACACAAATCAATAAAGAATACATAAACAGGATAAAGAATAAATTCATAGGATAATCTCAGTTGAAGAAAAAGTATATGATAAAATTCAACATCCTTTCATAAGTCTTGAATAAAATAGGTATAGAGGAATCATACTTCAACATAATAAAGGCCACATATGACAAACCTACATGCAGCATCATATTAAATGAAGAAAAGCTGATTTTCCTGTAAGATCAGTCACAAGACAAAGATGTCTACTTGTATTGCTTTTATTCAATAGAGTACTAGAAGTTTTAGCAATTAAGCAAGACAAAGGAATAAATGACATACAAAATAGAAGTTAATTATGCCTGTTAGCAGATGAAATGCTATTATATATAGAATATGCTAGGCTCTATCAAGACTATTAGAGCTGATAAATTCTGTAAAGTAGCAGGTTATTAAAAAATCAGCCTTTTCATACACTACTAATGAATTTACTGAGAAACAAAAGCAATCTCATGCAGCTATGAGTATAAAATTAAATATCTAGGAATAAAATTAACCAAGGAAATGAAAACTTTTTCAGAGAAAATTATAAAACAATGATGAAAGATATTGAAGAGCCCCCATAATAGAATAAGAATTAGCATTGTATGATATGTTTACCCAAAGTGATCCAGAAATTCAATGCAAATCTAATCAAAGTACCAATGACATTCTTCAGAGAACTAAAAAAGTCAAACCTAAACTTCACAGGAAAGCAAAAATGACCCCAAACTGCCAAAGAAACTGGATTGGTTTGGATTCTTTACAGGAATAGCATCAATAGGAAATATATACATATAAATTAAGGAGATCTATTAGAGAGGCATACAAGATCAGAGGTGGAATATTCCACAATGGCTGCCTGCACTCTGGAGAGCTGAAGAATTGAGTAGCTGCTCAGCCCAAAAAGCTGGAGGTTATAGAACAAGAGGGATCTAGGATGCAGCCCCAGTCTGAGACAATGTGTGGAAGCTCCCTAGAGAGTGACTAATGTAAGTTCATACTGAAATTCTGAAGAAACTGGGGTCTGGAATTCTCAGGCAATGGAAGTAGGGAAAGACACACATGCTGAAAAGACACACAGACCTACTTCCTCCTCCTTCCCCTTTCATTCTATCCAGGCAACAAGCCTATAGAATAATGCCACCCACAATCAAGGTGGCTCTTCCTCCCTTGGTTTGCTGGCCTAAATGCAAATCATCTCAGTAAACATCCCCAGACACACCTGGAAATGTGTTTTACTAATCTGCTAGACATTTCTTAAGTTGACAATCAAGATTAATGGTTGTAGCAGTCTTAAGTAAAAGAACCAAGCTAGAGGCATTGCAATACCTAATTTCCAGACACATTCAGAGCTATAATAACCTAAAAAGAATGTTTTAGGCTTAAAGATAGACACACACAGACCAATGGAACAAGACAGATCCCAGAAATAAGCCTAAACAACCACAGCCAACTGATGCTCAAAAAAGGCACCAAAAACATACATTGGAGAAAGGACAGTGGTGCTGGGAAAATTCAATATCCATGTACTGAAAATTAAAACTTACCCTTATCTCTCACCCTATACCAAAGTCAATTCAAAATGGATCAAAGACCTAAATGTAAAATCTGCAACTACTCCAAAAAATCATAGGGGAGACACTTCAAGACATAGGTACAGGCAGTGATTTTTCTCTACAGGTCCCCAAAACACAGGAAACAAAAGTAAAAGTTGAAAAATAACATATCAAACTAAAATTCTTCTGTACATCACAGGAAACAGAGTGGAAAAAACTACAAGAGAAAATATTTACCAGCTATTCAGCTGACAGATGGTTAATAGTCACAATTTAAAAAGACAAGCAATCCAATTTAAAAATGAACAAGTGATCTGAACAAATAATTTTCAATACAAATTGCCAATATATGGAAAAATGCTCAATATCATTAGCCATCAAGAAAATGCAAACTGAAATTAAAATGAAATACTATAGGGCCAGGGATTTAGCTCAGTGGTTCCACCACCTGCCTCTCAAGCACAAGGTCCCAAGTTCGATCCCCGGTACCAAAAAAAAAAAAAAAATTACTACAGAATGGCTATTTTTTTAAAATGCTGGCAAGATGTGGGAAAAAGGAGCTCATATTGTTGGTGGAAATGTAAATTAGAGCAATCACTATAGAGAACAGTGTGGAGGTTCCTCAATAAAATAGAACTACCATATGATCCAACTATCCCATTCCTGGGTATATATCCAAAGGAAATGAAATCAGAGAAATACCTGCATGCCCATATTTATTGCTGCACTATTCACAATAGCTAAGATATTGAATCAGCTTAACTGCTCATCAACAGATGAATGGATAAAGAAAATCTGGTACATATACACAATGGAATATTCAGCCATAAAGAAGAATAAAATCCTGTCATTTGCAACAGAATGGATGAAATGAGAGGACATTACAGTATGTTAAGTGATATAAGGCAGACACAGAAAGTACTGCATGTTCTCTCATATGTGGAAAGTAAACTCAATCTGAAATTAGAATAATGGGTAAGAATTGGGAATGTGGGGGTGGGCGACTGAATATGATCAATGCATGCTATGTACATGAATGGAGATCACATGGATCCCCACTAATACATTAGTAAAAAATTTTAAAAGACTATTCATTGTAATATTACTAAGGCCCAAAACTTGATACAGCCCTAATATCTCACAGCACAGGGGTTGAAAAAAATTTTTTACAATGTAATCAAAGCAATGCTAGTCAGTAATAAAAAAGAATATATCATGGCCAACAAGCAGCAACATGAATGAATCTCAGCAGCATGCTAAGTGAAAGGAGAAGGCACAAAAGAAAAACATGATTCTATCTGTAGGGAGTTCTAGATCAGGAAAAATTAATCTATGGTAATAGAAATCAGAGCAATAATTGTTTCTGCAGAAATGGGTTTAGTGGGTTCCATCTGGATTGATGGAAATATTTTAGCATCTTGATAGTGATGTGGATTAAATGTATGCATTTTTCAAAACAGAAGGAACTGTATGCCTAAGATTTGTACATTTCTCTATAATTGGATTCTATCTCTATTTTTAAAAAATCTAAGAGTATAGACTCTTGTAGGGCACAGTATCTTAGAGTTCTCATGGTGAAGAACACAGCAAACAGTTAAAGGTCTCAGCTGGTAGCACAAACATCAATGACTTTTGCAAATCAGCATTGTATAAATTATTATTCATATATGTGCTAATCCCTGGAAACTAGTGTGAATGGGCCAGAAAAGGGAGGACACATCAATTAATGGTTTTTCAAAGAATATTTTGAAGAGCTGAATAGTCCCCAACAGCTAAAGCAGGTTGTCCAATGTGGCACACATTTATTAGCATTGATTTATATGCTCTTTAAAGATACCATGTGCCAGCAATTACAGCCCCAATAGTCAAAGCTCTTTGATGGTCAAATAAGATATTCTTAGTCCTGTTTGAGGGGGTAAGAGGCATTTAAATGGCCATATTAAAAAGATATCCCTTGCTAAACTTATAAAAATGCCTTATCTTTAATCTAACAAATGGTTTCCCTTTGTCTCCCACAGGGGCACAAGGTGAAGCAAAGGAACACAGAAATGAAACTCAATGACAGTCCTCAGCCCGGCAAGGCCTCCCTTGTCCTTGGGAAGTTGGGGGGAGATGAGAGCAGCAGCGCTGTGCAGGAGGGTGGGGATGGGGGGGGGGGAGTCCCTCAGAGGAAGGATGGGGATCCTTTGCTCTGATTTCTCCACCTGCATTTTGTTCTGTTTACCTGGCCAAAATGAAAGAAAAAAAGAAGTTTCCTTATCTTGGTGGGAGGACCCATGCTAACACATCTTTCAGGCACTGTCCCTATCACTTAGGCTTTCTCTCAAACTTTGCCCCAGGGACCCAGGGGCAAGGTTTAACACTCACTTGTGTCTCCTGCCCTGTCTGCCTTCGTTACTTCACAAAGCTGGCCCTACAGTGCTTTCTTCAAAGAAAGTGGGAAGATGACTGACAAGGTACAGGCCAAATTTCAGCAATCACGGAGCCCAGTGTCAGTAGAACTCACAGGTAAAGAAGGAAGGACAGAAAATGGGAAAAACTCTCAGAATCCACTTTGAAAAGGTTTGAATGATGAGCTTCAAATGTGTTTTTCAGGGTTGCCAAGATACAGTTTGTCCTGTGTAGCTAGTGAGGACTGAAGAAAGAGGCTTTAATTCAGAGCACTGCACAGAGGTATGATAAGGAATCTAGGTCCTGTGTGGCCACTGGGGTCCCTTCCTTCATGGTCAGGTGGCACACCATGTTGACTTTCAGCAGAGTTTAGTTGGTTTGTGACTCTTAACATGTGCTTCAGCATGGAGCCTGCCAGTGATATGTATGAGGGATGACTGAAAAACATATTTAAATTTTTTAAATTACACTAAAAGACACGCTGTTAAAAATTCCACTCCAAATACTCCCTCTCATTTATCTCATCATTCTTGCCCTTCTCTGCAGCAGTTCTGGACATCCTTTTTCCTGTCTTTATGGGGTATGATCAAAAACTCAGTGAATGATGCTGAGCACCATCCAATAGAAAAGCAGGCTGGTAAAAACATTAGAGTGTGTCGTCATCCACAGTATTCAGCAGCTCTGGCATGATTGAACTATGGCTCTTCCTCAATGTCAAAATGACCTCGAAACGGGGAGGATTTTGAAGGAGATTAATGGGGGCTGGGGAAGTAGCTCACTGGTGCTGCACCTGCCTGGCAAGTGCAAAGTCCTGAGTTCGATCCCCAGTACCAAAAAAAAGAAAGGGACTAATGGTGATGTGTCTTTTACTATAAATTTTTAAAAACTAAGCATATTTTTCAATCAGAATAGTAACAATGGTAAAGCTAGGTGTTGTCAAGAACTAAGTGGGGTTGCTGCATTTAGGACTCAAACATATGCCTATTTTGAAATGTCCACTTGAAATCTCTATGTTTTTCACAAAATAAGAGCCCATGTTTTACTCAAGGATCCATAGCCACTAAGCAGAATCCCATGGGAAGTAAGAAGTAATCAGAGCATTTACTTGCAGTGCCAGCTCTCTGGTATGCATTGTGTGATGTTTGTTCACACCCCGTTCCAGGCTGGCTGATGTGACAGCTGGTCCCTCACCCAGAAAACCACTGAATATGGCCCAACAGGGGAGCAGCATACTAACACCTGAAGATGCCCGTGGCATGGTGGGCACAAGCAGTGATGACCAGGAGTCATCATAAGCATTTATCCCAGGGCCAACAGAAGACAAGATGCTTGGTTCCAAGCCCATTCCCTTGTTTTCTGTGGAAACATTTACTGCATATTTTCTTAAATCCCTCTTCCTTCTTATTTAGGACTTAATAGAAGAGTAGTCAATCAATTTGAGTATTTCTAAAATGACAGATGTCTGTTTCCTAAAGATCCCTGCTCTTTCTTCTTTGGAAAAGGCATCTTTTTGTCTTCTGATGACTTGTTCTGGCCTTTCTCAAGTTGTTGCCCCTCCTGGCTTAGTTGGTATACTGGAATAATTAGCAAATTTATAACTCTGGATATGTCATATATTTTAGTATCTTATTTTTTAAAGTTGTTCATCAACACAGCAGTAATGATATTGATTTTTGGAATATGGCCGGTTTTTCTTCCTGTCATTATTCTATAGTTTGAAGCACATATGTCTTTTATTGACATTTGACATTGCTTTCTAGAAAAGCAAAGACAAGGCTTATTTTGAACCATGTAAGAAACGATGCCATCCAAATATTGACAGTTTCTATATTTCATGCCGTTTTATAACTCAGCTGAAAGTCATCATTCTTGTGAAGTGGCTGACAAGTGCAATCTGCTAGGAACTTGTTTTCCAGTGACTCCCAGTGTTAGTGCTACTCAGGCTCCATAATGAATTATACTTGAAAACAACAAGGAGCGAAGAGGGACAGAGGTTTTTTAATGGACTAAGATGAAACAGACCCAATATTCCTGCTAGTAACAGCCAGGATTAGAGTTATTCCAATCCAGGCATTTTCCCTGTCATCAATGACAGCCCTTTTAGTCATTCTTTTAAATGTGGGTGGGTTAGAAATGAGTAAGTTCATGGTCTGAAAGTTGTAGAAAAGTAATCTCTGTATCCAAAAAACTAAGACATCGGAGCATAAATATTATCATCCCCATTCCTGAATTTGTTTAAACTATGTTATGATTAGATTGCATTTTCATTTCGGTTTTATGTTTTTTGGTTGCTCTTTGGCTGTATGATTTTATTCTTTAAAATAAATAATAGTTAATTTCTATTCCAATAGTGAAATACAAAAATCTAGCTAGTGGCCAGATGGAAGACATCTCAACACAGGAAGCCTTCATTTGCTGGGCTTGTCATTGCACGGGCTATACAATGGAATAAATTTAAAAAGCCGATTGATTCTCCTGCACATGGATTCTGGATGTCAGTTTCCAACTCTACTTCAGTCAGGCTATGTGGGTTACAGGAGGGAGGGAGGGAGGAAAATAGCCCTGTATGAGTCATGTTTGCATACAGAGGATCGAAGTGGGCCTTCAACATAACAGTCCTAATTAAAAAGGTAGTCACTTTGGGAGAGACAAAGGGGCTATTCCTCTAGCTGCTCACTATTCAGATGATAGACAAGTCTTCTTTCATAAAAGCTTACTAAAAGGCACCCAAAACACTGTCTGTGATATTGGGTCACATATTAATCACCACAGCTAATTGTAAATCTTTCTATGAAACACTGAAAAGCCTCTTTGTGAATTAATACAGTTCTGCTTAATGCATTTGATTTGAAAAGACATTTCTCTGTATGTGGTGCATGTCAGCTGTGCTTTGAAAAATAACAAAGTTAGCAGAATATGTCCGATATATTTTCTTGGGGGAATAGGATTTTTATCATATGATTCATTAAGGATTTGCCTTACCCTAACATTTGTGATATAAAGGAAAATCAGAATAAAAGTAATTTTCTTGATCAAGATATGTTTTTACTTAATGCAAATAAATGTAGTCTGTTGCTTGTAAGGGGAAAAATGTCTTCTGGTATAATCTGCTAAATAGGATAATATGTGCCTCTTTTGTTAAACCAGCCTGAAAATGCTGGACTGCTTCTAAATCTCTGTTTCTTTTCATCTGTGCCACACACTAAAACACTTAAACAACTGTTGCCTTCATAATATATTTGTTAGAGCAGAGTGCAAATAAAATTTGAGAGGATAACATGGAATTATCTGTTTCATGAAATTTATTCTTTAGCCATATGTATTTAATTCCTCAAAATGTTCATTTACTATTTGGTTGTAAATATGTGTAGTATTTAAAATTGTCTCCAAGTCAACTTTCACCTATTAATACTTTATCCTTATTGAGTCAGTGTTCTAAAGGTGTTTTTCAAACTTAACTGCCTTACCTACAGCTCTGAGAAGCAGGCATTAAGTTGTTGAGATAAAGCCAATGGTTTCTCAATTTTGGGAGCCACCATCCAATGCTGGAATTCTTCTTGAGCATCTTCTAGGAGTTGTCTCTATGCTGGCCATGTGATCATGGCGGACATGATCCTCCAAAGTCTACTGTCAACAGAATGTTGATAGACTCATACAGTTGTTAAAAGTGTAGCAGTGAACCTCCAAAACTCATTATGAAAAGATTCAACATTCTCTTGAAAATGCAAATACATATTTCATCAAATTTAATTCCCTTTTTCTCCTACTGAATAGATGCTATTAGGGTTATTTTTCTAGAAGGCAATCAAGTCACCCTTTTATCAAGCAAAACCAGAGATGTAACTATTTAAGGAGAATAAGATTTTCTAAACTGCCACACCAGAGGAGCATTTTCCTGGTAGTAAACGAGTCTGATGAGAAAAAAATATATAAATGGGAGAGCTACATGCTGCAATGGGCAACCTCAGCACAATGCTTTAGGGTGACAGTGAAGGTAATTTGACATGATTCTGGCGCTGTTAGATACGGTTTCTCATCTGCGCCCAACTTCTCCTGTCATTTGCTGTCACTCATATTTCTCTCCCAATCCTGTGCCCATTTCCCTTCCATTGACCACAGGTACCATTCACTAACTTCACTGGTAGCTCTGAGGGCTCAGAGGATAATGACACCCATTTAAATTATCTTGCTAGGACTCTGGCCCAGTTGTTGGCTTTGAGAAATAGTGTCTCCATTTCTTGGTCTAGAAAATGGACATACCTATACACACATGAAAACTTTTAAGTTTAAACATGAATAAAGTACCAAGATATTACACTTTATTGTTTGCAAAAGGACTTGGTAAGTTATTTGCATTAGACTTTGCTGTTTAGTTCTCCAGGCAAATGGTCCTTTCTCCAGCTCAAAACTGTTTATCAAAGCAATAAATGGTCCTTACAGTTAAATAATTAGTAAACATGAAAACCTATTCCACTGAAGTTGATTTAAACTTTGTCTCCAAATTAAGGACCCATGAAGATGAAATTGTTTTGTTTTGTTTGCTGTTGGGTATTTGAATTCTTAAAATATGTTCACACTAAGTATTGGGGTTAACTTGTTAGAGCCATCTTTTCTCTGATAACTATAGTGAATCTATAAGCAAGGATAAAAGGGGGTACAGCTTTACCTCTGGGCTAACATGTATGGAAGGATATGTATTTACAAAGAGATAATTATACCAGTGTTCACATACCTTCACTGAAGTAGGAGTACACATCTTCATCCTAATGAAATTGGATGTGCCTATATGACTTGTTTTGTCCAATGACATGTGGGTAGATATGGCATGTGTCATGCCTGGCAGCAGCTTGAAGATTCTCATTCTTTTTCCCTATAACAATCAGAAAAATCTCAGGCTACTCCAAAAGTATAGACCCTGCAGTGAAGATGAAGAATTTTAGGAAACTTCATTAGGAAGGTGACATAAGTGAAAAATAAATTTATGTTTTGAGATTTTGGGGGTGATTTGTTTCCATAGCATAACATAGCCTATACTAACTGATACATATGCCATCAACTCTTAAAGTCTAAGAATCTATATCATCTGCTTTGCCAACCCTACCTTGTGACACTTTCAACCTGGCTTACAATCCTGCCTGTATTTTGATAATTTGTCTGTTCCTAGAAGACAAGTCCTGTTCAGCCTCAAAACCTTGAACTTTAAAGTTCTTTCACACCATTCATAATATACTTGAGATCTCAGATGTACATCACTTCCTAGAGACATCTTCTTCAACTATCATATTTCAAAGTAGATCCCTTCCCAAACTCTGTTTAACCTCATATTTACTAGTTCAGAACACTAACAATTTGTAGTTGTTTATTGGATTATAGGCCAGAGATAAAATCTATGTGTTATAATTTCACTTAGCAAAATAATGTAGCCTTTCCCCCCAAGAATTGATTAGAGGGGTGTGCATGAAAAAAATTTGAATCTGTGAATTAAAAGTATCTCTTTTTCAGTGTAACATACTCATTTGGGGATATTCAGTTGCTGAAAGTTTAAACTCCCTACTGAAGCTATTTCTCACCATTTGAATTTTTGTATTCCTTTAGATAAAAACCTTGCTTTCTAATCAGTATGACATAAACTAGTAACTATACAATATACATACCATATTTTAAAAGTAACATTTAAAAAGTAATTTTCTAAGTATTTTATCAAATAGGTATTAAGAATAAAATGATGGATTACAAAAAAAATATGAACACTGCTATTATCTGAATGTTGGTATCTCTCTCAAATTCATATGTTGGAGTCTAATACCCAATGTAATTATATTAAAAGGTGGGGGCTTTTGAGCAATAATAATTTCTCAACTGAAGCTTCCACCCTTAAGAATGCAATTAGTGCCCTTTTAAAGATGAAGTGGCTCCCTTGCCCCTTCTGCCACAGGAGGCTGCAAGAATGTGCCCTGTATAGAGCAGAGAGCCCTCGCCAGAAGCCAAATCTGCTGATGTACTGATCTAGGACCTCGCTCTCCAATAGTGTGTGCAATAAATTTCTGTTGCTCATAAATGATCAAGTCTTAGGTATTTTGTTATAGCAGCCCGAATGAATTAAGACAATACACAGAATGTGGGACAAAGCCAAGCTATACTTACAAGAATTATAGTTTTAAGAACATAGTTATGCTTTAGAGTAATTTTGTATTAAAAATCCAACAAAACATTTTTAAAAGCATTCAAACTAAGAATTTTAGAAACAGTAAAAAGTTTTAAAAAGGCTTACATGAAACAGACTTTTTAAAACAGTAGAACATTATATCTGGTTGTTGAGATAGATAAATCCTCACCAATTATTACAAAATAATTTTTAAAAGGTAGCAATATCCAAATTATAAGGACAAGATAAAATTGAATGCATAACTTAACATGCAATAAATTGGAGATTTTTTAAAAGAAAAAATTTGCCAGGCCCAGGGATTTAGCTCAGTGGTTCCAACACCTGCTCTGCAAGCACAAGGACCTGAGTTTGATCTTTGGTACAAAAAAATAAATAAAATAAAATTTGCCAAAATTAATATAACACCACAGAAAATTCACAGTAAAATTCATGGCAGAAATTAGATGTCAAGAAGCCATCAGACCAATTATCCATATCAATTAAAATAATATTCAAAATTATCAAAAAACTGTGAATAATCAGGTAATATCCTCTGTTTTCATTTTATATTATTTCATAAGTGAATCATACTTTATATCATTTATGTACACTGCTTTTTCACTTGGTTATACCATAGGCATTTTCTTGTCAAGTATTTTCCTAAGCTATTTAAAAATACTTCATCATATGTCTGTAATTTATATTACGACTTCCCTATTCTATGACAGCTTACATGAAAGTTTTATTTTGAATGAAACCACCAAGAACCTTTCTGGCTACCAATTTTTGTTTACTTCAGGGAGTACGTTTAGATCATTTCCAAGGTTCATGAACCCTTGATATCACCAAATTACTTCACAGTTGTACTTCTAGAAATTATAAAATGAGAGGGGGAATACTGCAGATAGGTAACTTAATTAGATATCTTGTGTGCAGTTAGACAGGACCAGCCCTCCAGGAGCCAACACAGCAAGGAGCCAACTAGGAGAACAATCAAGACGCATTCACTGAAGGCCAGAATTGCAAAAGAATTGCAAAAGGAGAGAAACTACACACCCTTGTGCTTCCCCTGGGGATAAATAGCAGTGATTGATATTCTACATAGGTATCAATCACCTGGGTGGTGGTGGGGGGGTCACTGTCTTAACCCAGCCTCTCCAGGAAATATCCCTGACCCCCACCCTTACTGAAAATCCTTGTACGCTTGCTATGTGACTTGCTCCCCCATTTGACCCCCATTTAATATTACCTAGGTACTGTACTTGTAATCTTATTGGTTGGTCATGGTTTTGCCCCACCTCATGCCCACCTTATAAATTTCCATTGGGTCTTATAGTTTTGTCCCACTTTGTACCTGCCTCACCACACGGCTTTGAAACATCTTTGAAAAGTGGGGTGGGCGGGCAACCCACTTTCCAGTCCCCTTCTGTCTCTCTTGGGCAGATGCTTTCTTACTCCCAATAAATTTTTCCTACTCATAACCTCCATTGTTCCTAGAATTCATTCTTCAATTTTAGAGAACACGAACTCGCGGTTTGGATACCTAGCAGGTTTGGGAGTTACATCTCCTCCCCTACATCACTCATAATCTCCTCATCATGGCCACTCCGTGTCTTCGACGAGACAGTGGCCTTTCTCCTGTCACCCTGACACTTTCACTTTTTTCAGTTACTTCCCTCTTAAAGAAGTGACTTTGGTGCCCAAGTCTTCTGGAGTCATCTTGAAAGTGGTAAATGCAGTTTAGGTGTGCTTGGCTTTTGGAAACCCCCAAAGATCTAAATACACAGTGGAACCCCTGTCTCCCTCGCTGTTCCTGCCCTCCCATTTGGAGAAGAAAACAGAAAGACATGCTCTTCCTCCGAGTCTCCCTGCACAGGTGTCTGTCTTAGGTTTTCAAATGTCATTTGGCTTCAGATAGAACCTTCGCTGAGCAGGTGCTCCTGGCCCTTACCATGGAGCAGACTGCTGAGTTGAGGAATGAACCTTCCTCTTTGTGGTTTGCTGTCTTAGACATTGGACCTGCGCTGCTCGAATTTGTTGAGGCTCAGGATCTGCCAAGTGGCAGAGGGGAGGAGTGAAGCAGGGACCTCAAAACACAGACAAAGGAGGCACTGAGTGTCAACACTTACCTTCGGGAAGGTCCCAGCACACCCCAACATTTTCTCAATGTATTCAGAGAATTTTGACATAGTTGCTATGCATCTTTTCACATTACTGATACCACAAACACTTCTTTTCTGTTGTTATTTTCCTTTATCCTAATTTTGTAAAGATCCAGCACATCCAAGGGCTTCTTCCTTGGTAGAAATATAAATCTTCTGGGTAGTGAGGGTGATTCTGGAAGACAGGAGGACAGTCACAGTCAACAACTGAAGTATGAACACAATTTTCTTGTGTGTTCGGTGAGTACAATACTTCCTGTATCATAGGACTGTGACCGAGGTGAAATGAGCTCACAAGGCTGTAGGGCTCTAAATTGATCTCCAGAGATAGAGTCTCAGCATCATGTCTAGAGGCAGTAGGTGACACTGGAGCAGCTACAGAGTTTGTCCTCCAGGTTGACCAAGGGTACTTGGACCATGAACCAGAGCCCAATAGCATAGCAGGGACACTCTGGGGCTCCAGCTATGCTGCAGCTGCTAGTGGGATGGAGCAGCTTGGTGTACAGCTGTGGGACTACATTTCATTGAAGATGCACTTTTTCCCCCTCCTCCCTCTCTGCAGTATAAGTGTAGGTGGGCAAGTGCTGGAGTGTACTTGAAGGGTTAAATCCGGAATGCAATAAATACTAGCAGAATTGTATCTCCAATTTCTTTATAAATACAGCTGCAGCTAAGAATTGCAGATGTTTCTGATACTTGCACGAAGATTGTTGAACTGTTCCTATTCTCCACATGCCTTTGTATTTTCATTTTTTTAAACTTTATTTTCTTTTATTTTTGCAGTATTGGGGATTGAAACCACAGCCTCCGCACTGAGAGATACCTCCTCTGCCCTCTTTTAATTTTGAAACAGGTCTTGTTAAGTCATTAAGTTGCCCCTGCTGGGCTCGAACTTGTGATCCTCCTGTCCCAGCCTCTCAGAGTGCTGAGATTACAGGTGTGCACCACCAAGCCTGGCTTGTGTTTTCACTTTATTAAATGGATGTGCCTCTGGTTTATCATGTTCCTTGCATGCTGTAGGAGTCTAGTAGATCTATGGTGCCCTGAATTAAGGTATGGGCAGGGGGGTGCTCAGGCTGTTGCAGCTCTAGAATAGCAGATCCTTCCTCAGCCTTGATCAGGATCCACTGTGTCCAGACAGTTTCCTTGGAGAATGACCTGGCCCACACCACACCTGATGTGACTGAGAAATTTTGGCGATAGCAAGTCAGGGAGCTCTGGAGGTTATTTGTTAGGTGGCACAAATTAGTTGTCTCAGTCACTTTTCTTGTTGCTGAGACATAATACCCAACACCTGCAACTTAAAGAAGGAGAGATGTATTTTGGCTCGCAGTCTGTAGAGGTTTCCATCCAGAGCTGGCTGGCTCCAAAGCAGGGCTGCCTGGCAGAGGAAAGCTGCTCACAGGATGGTGGACAGGAAGCACCAGAAGTGAAGGGAGGAGCAGGAAAGAGATACCCCCTTCCTAGCCACACCCCAAGTGACCCATCTCCTAACAGCTGACCAGCTACACACTCATCATTGACTAAGCCACTGGATACAAAATCAGCATTAAAAAATAATAGCTTTTCTATGCACCAATAATGGAATAGCTGAGCAAGGAATCGGGAAAACAATTCCATTTGTAATAGCTTCAAAAACAGATGAAATATCTAGGAGTCAACCTAAGTAAGGAGGTGAAAGACCTCTACAACAAAAATTACAAAACATTGAAGAGAGAAATTAAAGAAGACAGTGGAAGATGGAAAGACCTTCTGTGTCCATAGATCTGCAGAATTAACTTTTTCAATGGTCATAAAATGTAATAGGAAGCTAGGGCATGACAACGTGGCTGGAGCAGTTGGGTACAAGCTACCAGCTGAGAAGACTTATTAACTATGAGCTCAGGACAGAAGCACTGAGCCTGACCCAGGATCAAACTGAGCCCTGCACCTGGCACCAATCTTTTGATAGGAGAACACACCGAACCTGGCACCTGACATTAGTCTTCTAGCATAAGATTAAGTGGGACCCACTGGGATCAAGGATCAAAGAAGATATAAAAGGACAGCAGCATTTGACTTCACCACCACTGCTCTCTTGTTTTGCGGTAGTCCATTCTGCTTGAGGGACATATCTTCTTTTTTCTCTTCAAAGCACCCTTTTCTCCCTGAGCACTTTTGTGCTTCTCCTTTTTGTTATTTTTACCTTAAAATAAATGGTGATCTTTCACATCCAAATAAATAAATAAATAAATGAAATGAAATGAAATGAAATGAGAATTTCCATTTTAGAACCCTTACTCTACTTTAAGGCCCTATGTAAATATGGACATGAAAGAATATCAGTCTAAGAGATGGTTTATCACTATTTTAACTATCATTTGTTCATTTACAAGAGAGAATAGACAGATTTTCTTCCAGCTATTCATATTTTCTGACTAGAGAATTAATCTGTTCATGTTCTTTGGTCACTTGTTGAACTGGATTTTGATTTTCTATTGATATTTATAAGCCTTTTATGTAGATTATCTTTTTGTCATATTTCCTGCATATAATTTTCTACTTGTATTTTGCTTCATAACTTTGACTGTAATATTTTGTCACACAGACTTTATATTTCTATGCAATCAAATCTCTCTCTCCCTTTGTGTTGACTTTCATTACTTTTGTAGTTGACATTTATTATTTTTGCCTGCTAGCATTCATTCCGGCTTCTGGTGATAAAGCCCTTCAAGCCTAGTAGAAAATTCCTTTTATGTATTTTCTGGAGATGGCTTTCCATGCCTACTCTTTGGCCAGGAATAAGACACATGACCCAGGCTAGCCAATCATAGGGCTTTATCTCAATGACCGTGGTTGGTTTAGAGAAGTCACAGGGAACCAAACTAGACCAATCAGTGCTTTCCCTCAGACTCGATCTGTGGTTGCTGGGAGAAATTCACAAGTCACAGTGAGCATGTAAACTGACAGTAGTATGAGCCAAAAATGTCTTTTTTTAGCAAATTGGAGATAGGTTTCAGGCTCTTTTAACTGAGTGCTCTCCAATTATTTCAAAATAAAGAACAAAGTTCTTACAATGTCCTGAGGGCTGTGTGTAATGTCATTGTTCTCTCTGCCCCAGAGCAGAGAGCATAAACTCATCTCCTGTTCACCCCCATGGGCTTCTGTACTCAGACATGCAGCCCTGGGTCTCCCCTTGCTCCTGTACACTAGTCCTTCCAGGGCTCTCTTCCTCTTATTAGATATAGGACTACTTGTTCACCTTCTCAGAGTTTGCTCAAAGCTCTCTCAACAAGGTTTACACAACCACCCTTCGTACTACAGCAGGTGACCTCTAGGTTTGACCTTTTTCATGGACCTTGTTTTTATCTCCTTTTCCACAGCACTTAATATGTAGTGCAGGCTAGCCTTGAACTCACTATGTAGCTGAGGCTGAACTCACGGCATGCTCCGCTACACCCAGTTTTTTTCCATAGCATTTATATAATTTACTTATTCGTTAAATTCATTTCAAAACTCATTGAAAAGTTCTCCGTACTGCATGAAGAAAAGGTAGGTTTCATTGAGAGCAAGGATTTTGTGTTTTCTTCACTGATAGCCCAAACATCTGAGCACATACTACATATAGGTGTTCACTAAATATGTGTTGAGTACAACAAGGAATTCTGTTCAACATTTTGGTTTGGAAAATCTTAGCAAATAAATTCCCCACCATGAGGCTGGTGATTACCTTTGTTTTTGTTTTTTCCTTTTTGGGGAGAAATAGAGCAGATTAAATTGTGACTATTAACAAAAGGCTCTGCATCCTGTCCCACAAGACAAATATCAGAACTGTAAAAAGGCAAAAAATGTTCACATAACTATTGTAAGAGGCCAGGCACAGCACTGTACACATGTATTCCCAGATACTCAGGAAGCTGAGGCAATAGAATTGCGAGAGTAAGTCCAGCCTGGGCAACTTAGTGAGATGTTGTCTTAGAATAAAAAATTGAAAAGAGCTGGGGATGTAGATCAGTGGTAGAGCTCTTGCCTAGCATGTGCAAGACCCTATGTTCAATCCTCAGTGCTCTAAACAAAGCTGTAAGCACTGAATTCTGGTTCAGAAAGCCTGTTCCCCATTTAATGCAAAAAAAGACAAGAGAGAGGATCTATTCGTGAACTGATTCTGCCCCAAACAAAGCAAGCATTGTATTCTGATGTTATTATGATTTTTTTTTTTTTTAAGTCTGAATGTAGATGAGAGGGAGCTGTTAGGATTGGCCTTTGAAAGACAATGATGCATCCATGGCTGAACATGAAGGCTGACTCTCACCTGCACTCAGCCTCTTGCAAGTTCATGGGCAGCTTCCCTATTGGCTGCCATCTTGTGGTGCTGTGGCTTTCAGCGTGTGGAACAGGGAAACAGACAGAGATTGCTGGAAGTCAGACACAGGAAGGGCTGCACATCCCTGCTGCCCACATTTCATGGGCCACAATGCCTGAAAAACAAAGTCTGGCCAATTACCTGGCAGGAAAATGAAATGTGTTTGATGACCTCTTAGAATTGCTTCTGTGACATAGCTGTCTGCTATGGCCAAGCCCTGTATTCCCATTCCTCAAGACCAAGTAAGCCACACCAGCCTGGAGAGGAGTGTCTTCTGAATATCTTGGGTGATCAAAGGAATTCCATTAGAATTGAGCCATTAATGGGGTGCAAAAAATTTGCGTGTTGCTTTACATTGTCTTGGATAGAAACTTGAGGATGTGGTAGAAGACACCCCTAGGACTGGAAGTCTCATTTGTTACTAAGACAATCAAAAGAGAATCCAGTCCATGGGGAGGCAAATATTTTTTATTTTTCTATGTCCCAAAATGTATTGCCTTTGAATTTCAAAAGTCATTCTCTGTCTAGAGATAGCAAAATGCTCCAATGTTCACCTAGTTTTCCTTTCATTATTTGTATGTGATTCCATTTTCTACCTATATATTTAATGCACTTTGAATTTATCTTAGCATTTGGTATTTGATGAGAAGTAAATTGACTGAGTAGCTTTCAAAATAGTTCTAGCACCAATTTAATAATAATGATGCAATAATAATGACATATCCATAGTCCTTCGTCCTGAGTTTTCTGTAATAAATGCTTATTTTACATTTATACAAGGATCTATTTTCTCGGGTACCCCTTCCATTTTTTTCTGGTGCCACCATATTAATTACTATAGTTTAACATAATCACTGATGTCTAGTAAACCAAATGCAATGCCTCCACTCTCATTTTCAAATGCTTTTGGGCTATTATTTGTTTAGTGTTTCAGATAAATCTTAAAATAGCTTTATCACATTTTGTACATATAGAGAGCCCTCTCTCCTCAAAATTTCTCTCTCTAAACAGCCAGAAAATAATCCAATCAGTTTAGCAGACCCAGGCTGAGCTGGGACATTAAGGGGAAAGGCCATCTGTTATAAATGCAGCTTCTTGAAATGTTCCATAGAAGAACATCCCTGCTCATTCTGGCCTGATGACAAGCCTAGGCTGTGGTTTGAATAACAATCTGTTTCCAAATATTCTGCTCCAAAGCCCTTTCCTGACTGCCTCAGCCTCCAGCCCCATCAATCTCTTATTTGAATCATTTGGTTCTGCGCAGTAAGTCAGGAGGCAAAAGCTAGTTAAATGTCACTGTGTCTTCAGTGGTCATCCTCTTTAAGCAAATATCCATTTTGCAAACAAGTGCTGAAGGGTTCAACAGAGCTGGTCCACAGGACTCTCTATCTGCAGAGTCCAAAACACAGTAATACAGCATTTGGTTATCAAATTGTTCCTGCTGTCACTGCGTAGGTCTGGGTTCTTCCTGAAGCAAAGTGAAATGTCTTTGGTTCCATTTCACCTGACACGATCAGGTGAAATACAGCTCCACCTGCACTCACTACCAGCCTGGTCTGGCAAAGCCTGCCACAACTGCATCCTCAGAGACGCTGGAGTTTCTGCTCAAGAATGCAGACGTGCAAGGGGAAGGCAAATAATGGGCTTTGCATGTGAGTTTTAGTGAACAGAAAAGCAAAAAATAGAAAGAGAAGGTATAAATACCTAATGTTAAATAGCATTCTTCATTGTTCAAATAATTTTACATATGTTAGCTCAATTTTGATAACAATGAGACAGGGGCCATATTTACTCCCAAATTTATACATCAGCAAACTTAGACACCAAGAAACTAATTTGCAGAAAGTTACATATCCAGTAAGCAGCAGTGCTGCATTTGAACCAGAGAAGTCTGGAGCCAAAGTTACTATCCTAACCACTGCCTTAGGGACTTAAACTTGGGCCAGCATCATAATCACCTGGAGGCCTTCATAAATCACAGACCTTGGACCTCAGTCTAGAATTTCTCATTCAGGAAACCATAGGTAAGAAGCTGGGATTTTACACTTTTAACAAATTCTAGGTGACGCAGCTGTTACTGTAGCCCCAGGGATCACATTTTGAGAACAATTGTGCTGCACTGAAATGATTGCCAGGCGTGTTCCCTTGAAGGTGAGGAAGGATAAACAGAGGGAGAATGTTTAACCCATGCAGTTTTAAGCCATTCCTAGTTTTTAAATCAGAATGTCTGTGCTCTTTTAGTTCCTAAAGCAACTAAAACCTGTATCTCCTGCAAGGTGCCAGCTTTCTCCTATTTCTGTCAGTTACTGGCAACTATCCAAACACTGAACAGTGTAAATGGTGCCGGTTGAAGCATCAAAAAGCCAGGGTTTCCTGCAGAATAAAATACACAAATCCCAGCTTCTTAGAAACTCTTTTAATATTGCTTCCTGGCTAAAGTTGACATTTACCCAGTCTTTGAAAGTTTAATGCCCAGTCAACAAGGTCATTTGCCCAAATCACTTTCTTCCTTGGCTCATCAACAATACTTTCTTTCTATATGGTGTAGTCACCATATAAAGGAAAAAGATTAGAGATATTCTATATTTTATATATAGGTTTACATATTGTTAGTTTTTACAGTACTATTTTGGACAAAAAAATTCCACGTTGAAGCTAAATTGTTAACCCAACTAAGATTATTTACAGCAATATTTTTCTTGTTCCAAAATATTTTTAAACATTGCCAAGTTTATTAAGAACAGTTATTATAATTTTACATATGTAAGCAATACTATGAAAGATGGGGCTATAAACTGATCTATGACTCATTAGTTGGGGGAGAGAAAATTGTTGAGACTTAACAAAAACTTTACTGAATATAGCCTCTTGTGCTGCTAAAAAATGAAATTTTTATGATGCTGTAGATTGGGGTATATTCATCTGATGCCATTAAAGTATCTTTGACTTTGGTCTGAAATATTTATGACTCCATGAATAATGAACTTTTGAATATTTTTTTGTATAAAAATACCCAAAGTTTAATCATTTTGAAAACTCCTAATTGGATTAAAAAAGAGAAAAAAATACCATTCTTTATCCATTAACCACCGCCCCCCCCAAAGCAAGGGTATAAATCTCAGCTTTGTAGTTTACCACCTGTTTAACTTTTCTCTACCTTTCTCCTTCTATAAAGTAATGATAATTATTTACCAATTTGAATGAAGGTAAATTGTATATACACACATGCACCCACATTACCTGTCACACAGCAGCTACTAGGGAGCCTGAGACAGGAGGATCATAAGCATGAGGTAAGCCTGGGCAAGGCACTGTATCAGAAATTAAATGGTTTTTTTTAATGAATTTTTAAAATGACTGGGTGGAGCTTAATGGTAGAGTACTTGTCTAGCATTTGTGAGGCCTTAGGTTCAATCCAGAGTTGGTCAGAAAGGAAAGGAGAGAAAAGGAACGGAAAGGAAAAGAAAGAAGAAAGGGATAATGGTGGTTTTTCTTTTATTGCAAAAAAGATATCTGGTGGTTTTTTTTCCTTCCTGTAAGAAGCCAGCAGAGAAATTTAACTTTGAGAAGCCACCATAGGAAGACTTCCAGGGTTACACTGGATACTCAAACTTTCCTTACAACATTTAACTGTTATAAGAATAAAAGAGAAAGTTTATATTTGATTCTATGCTGCCACCCTACTCCTGTAGAAGGGAGAGAAATTTATTGGCTGACTCATCTCAAGGGCTCTCTTTCCCTGTACAAAGAAACACATGAGCCTTGAGAAGTGGTAAAAAGGCCTGTAATCCCAGCATTCTGGGAGGCTGAGGTGGGTAGATTGCAAGTTTAAGCCCAGCCTGGGCAACTTAGTGACTTCACAAGATCCTGTCTCAAAATAAAAAAGGCTGGGGATATAACTCAGTGTGATGGCCCTGAGTTCAACCCTCAGTACCAAAAGAAAATAAATAGCAAACAGATGAACTAGGAAAATGAAAAGTGCCAGAAGGGGAATGGTAATTTATTTAACAGGAAGCTGGGCAACTAAGCTTAAAGAAAAATAAAGAAAAAGAAAGATAGCTTGAACTAATTTCACTCAGTGTTATAAACAGGATCTCCTCTCAATTATTAAACTGTCAACTTCTCATTAACTACTATTTCTTTCATTTACTCAGCAAATATATGAGCTTTTGCTTTATATCAGCCACTGCCCTAGTTTCTTGAGAGACAAGGATAGGAAAAACAGGTAGAATTTCCCTTTATATGGAGCAGAGGGAGGGAAAATAATGAGAAGCCTGTGGGAGGAAAGATACTGGCAAGGGAAGGACTAAAAAATGAAAGAACCCCAGCATGGTGGCATGTATCTGTAATCTCAGCTACTCAGGAGGCTGAGGCAGGAGGATGGCAACTTCAAGGCCAGCCAGGGCAACTTAGTAAGATACTGTCTCCAAAAATAAAAGACCTGAAAGAAATGAGGACACTATCATTATCCATGTGGCCATCTGAAAGAGGAGCATTGGGCAGAAGCAGCAGCAAGTGCACAGGCCTGGAGGTTGGCTCATGCCCAACCTCTGAGAACCACCATGCTCAGTAAGGGGAAGCTTGGTTCAAGAGCAGGCCCACCCTGGAGAGCCATGCAGGGAGATGGGTCTATACTCAGCCATTGTCCTCTGATTTGCAGCAGAAGAGAGAGATGATCCAACTTTGAAAGTGGCACCCCATCATGTTGGTTTGCGAGATTTGGGCTGATGCCAAGTGGCTGGAGTTTCTAATGTCAGACCTGAACGCAGAGGTAGAAAAAGGAAAAGAGAATAAAGAGCAGAGATCCAAGGCAAGGACCTAGGAAGAGAGAAACTAGAGCTGGACTGAGGTTCTGTTGGCCTTTGCTCTCTTGTGGAGCCTTACTTTGGTTTTTTCGTGACGTTAAGAGGTAATTTACCAAGTAAATGGTCTTGACTTCCAGTACCTTTGACCAGTGTTCTCAATTCTAGCTGCTCATTAGAATCATCTAGGGCGAGCTCCCCAAAACCAAATGGAGGGACATTCTCCAACATAACTACTTCTCTTCTAAATGTGAAGGTCCCAATAGACAAAGAAAGACTGAGGAACTGTCCCAAATTAAAGGAGTCTAAGACA